AAAACTAGTGTTAAGTTTTTATAATGCTTTTTATACATAAGAAAGTTTGAGAGAGAGAGAGAAGGAAATGGACGGAAACGCGTGAGAAGATTGCGACCAAAAAACTTTATTTCAAACACTGAAAAGGGATTCACAAAAAGTGGTGATAAAAAGCGGAGCAAAGATCTCAACCTCCGGACGACAGGCAATAGAGAGTGTGTCCCACAAAAAGCCTTACAATAAAAGCGTTTGAAAACTTTTATACATGTTTTCGGAACCAAAACTACAGTAAAAGACATTCACAACATTTGGACCAAAAAACTTGCCAAACATTTGGCGATTGAATTTGCATTTCATAAATACTTTTCTCAATAATAACTCTCAATAAGTTTGAGGAAAAACTACTGTAATATCAAATGAAAAATGTTTTAATATTCAACGATAATTGCAAACCAATTAATTATGTATTCAAGCGATTGTGTGCTTTTATTTTGTTTATTTTCATTCAGTAATCAGTAATTTCCACAACAAAAATACCCAAACAATTATGTAGTAATCAAAATACCTGTCCATCGCATCGTTAAGAAAACTATGCGTTCATAAAAACTCATCACAAAAACAGCCAAAAACGAGACAAAAGTCAATCAACTTTTTCTACACACAAAACAATGCAATAAAAGTAACACAAAAAACGACTACAGAATCGAGAAATTCCTACAGAAAATCCATTGAAATTAATAGACAACGAAATGCGAGTGAAAAACATTATTAAAAGTGAACAACAAAACAACTTTTTGTTCATTTTATGCGAAGTAAAGTAATTGTAAAAAGTTGTGCACAAAAAAAGTGGTATCAAAATACATACATAGCATTGTATGGTATGGGTTATGTCATTCATACCCGTAGGCGCTATGGTATTAAAAATGTATATATTATTTGGCATTGCATTGAAAGCGAGTGAAAGCGTTGCGAGAGTTAGAGAAGTAAAAAATAAAATCAGAAATATATGAAAATTCATATGTATTACGAAATATACATACATTTGTCTCGAGAGAGAGAGAGAGAGAGCGAGAGAGAGAGAGAGAGAGATAATTACTGAAAAAATCAGTCGTGAGTGAGGAATGAATTACTATTATTATAATAACGAGTGAAATAAAAGGCACACAATATTTCTCTCGTCGTATATAATAAATGTCTGAATAAAGCGATCCAACCGTGAATTCCCGTCCCTTATATAATAGCTCTCTCTCTCTCTCTCTCTAAGACTTAACACGTTTAACACTTCACAAGCAATCAAATGTTATATCAAACCTCAATAACAATACTATAAATTTTAAAAAACGCAACGAATTAATAATAACATAGTTTTAAGCAATTGATTGGAAAATTTCATATAATTGTCGCCACAATTGCGAGACTTAATGGCAAACAAAATATATGTTTCAATCAATAATTATTCGGGCGATTAGTATCACGAATAGTGGTGTTTAGTATTGCGATCACTACTCAATCAAACCATTCAAACGCGAGTTTAAAGAGATATCCAAAACACTTTTCAAAGAGTTTTTCAATAACTAATTATTTATGAATCGCTTTTCGGTGTAAACTAAACACAAAAAAATCTAGATTCAAATTTATAAATAAACGCATACTTTCAGAGCGTTTTACTATTAGTGTTACCTATATACACACAGTATAGGTATGTATTGATACACGCTTTCAAAATATGTGACAAAAATTCATTTACAAAACAGATTTTAAGGCCATAGGAGTTAGCGCTGAGAGAGAGAGAGATGGGGTGTT